TATTTATCGTTACTTTCAAAAGTACCTGGTACTTAAATTATTATTTGTGATGTATACGTTCCTCAATCACATGGTTTTTTAAATACTTTTAAAAAAAAAATTTTACATTTAAATTTGTCTAATTACATAAATATCGCTAGCGTAGAGTGCAAAGTTGCTAAGTCCCAATTTAAAAATTGTACAGGAGAGGAAAAAACTTCGTATAGCCATTTTCTTCAAATATTTCGCAAAACTTTGAATACAACATTTTGCCTGTTTAAAGCAAAGCAAAACTCCATACGAATCAGAGGGATCCGATCTTTATTAAAAAGATTTCGAACTTTTTTGGCCTTATCGAATTTTCGGAGCTTTTTTTGGCCTTAGCAAATTTTCCTTTCATTGAATATAAACTAGAAAACATAAAACAAGGACCTTTACCCTTTTCTAAACGATGCAATATTAATTTTTCTAGCGTCCTATATCAAAATATGATTTTTCATTAAAAGTGAAGTTAGCAACTTTTCACTCTAAGCTAGCGATATATGAGTTTTACAATCAGTTTATCGTAAATTTTAAATAGCTTTATTTCATGGTATATTTAAATGCTTTCAGATACTGAATTTTTACTCATATTCATAAAATTTATTACTCAATTTGAATCCCGGGATAAATCCCGGGATCCCGGGATCACCTAAAAAATATCCCGAAATCCCGGGATCCCAATTTTCCTGATATTTTGGCATCCATAGTAGCCATGTTAGCCATTTGACTTTTGCTGGGATTTTGTAATTTTCATCACTTCTACACCTTTTCCAACACTTTTTCAGAAAAACACAAATGTATTTCAGAAAAGGCCAAATGTATTTCAGAAAAAGCCAAATGAAATTTAAAAAAACACAATTGTATTTCAGAAAAAACCAAATGATTTTCAGAAAAACGCAAATGTATTTCAGAAAAGGGCAAATGTATTTCAGAAAAGCACAAATGTATTTCAGAAAAGCATAACTGTATCCAAAAAATAATTTTCTGAAATGCATTTGTGCTTTTCTGAAATACATTTGCCCTTTTCAGAAATACATTTGCGTTTTTCTGAAAATAATTTGAACTTTTCTGAAATACAATTGTGTTTTTTTGAATTTCATTTGGCTTTTTCTGAAATACATTTGGCCTCTTCTAAAATACATTTGAGGTTTTCTGAAATACATTTGAGTTTTTCTGAAATTCATTTGGCCTTTTGAAATACATTTGTTTTTGTCAATGTTATTGTGGCTTCTTAACATTTTATTTTTAATATTTTTATTGAGCTTTGTACCACGATTGTTTATTAGGAAAAATTGAAAAAGCAACCAAGTCTAAGCGGTAGAAGTTATAGCACTATTTCGGAGATCACCACATCTCCTCATCAGACTTCTTTTTTCTAGACTTCAGCAGGGATCGAACCTGCGAATTCGATGTTCAAAGTCAGAAGCGTTAACCACTGAGCTATGTACATCCCGTAAACTCTTGTTGCTAATTCATTTTCCTTATTCAACCAANGAAATACATTTGTTTTTGTCAATGTTATTGTGGCTTCTTAACATTTTATTTTTAATAT